ATTGGATTGGATTGGACTGGATTGGATTGGATTGGATTGGATTGGATTGGAAACTCGAGAATATTCGATTGGGGATTGGATTGGATTGGATTGGCGTGGATTTGATTTGATTTGATTGGATTGGATTGGATTGGATTGGATTGGACTGGATTGGATTGGATTGGATTGGATTGGATTAGATTGGATTGGATTGGATTGGATTGGATTGAACTGGATCGGATGAGCATGAATGCCATGAACTAATTAAGCATAATGAAACAGAAACGGACTGCGTACTTTGGGAGATGGAAAGATGTCGATGGTGGTATTAAGACTATATATATTATTATTATTATTATTATTATTATTATTCGAATTCCTTTTTATATTTACTGCTACGTTCAAGAGAAGGAACGCAACCACCGGAACAAAATTAGTGATCTCTGTCAACCAACAGCAACGGTAATGATAATCATCATCATCATCATCATAATAATAATAATAATAATAGTAATAATTTTATTATAATATAAAATAATATAAGAATAAAAGAAAAGAAAAGGAAAGGTGTGGAAATGTATGAGTCCAACTCCTTTTTGATGAAGGCGTATGATGGATAAATCCCTGGCATTTTCCAGGCCTCTCTTCCTTTCTCTGTTTCCCCATACATTTGCAGATCATGCGTCTATGGATCCCTCCCTGTCCAGATACATTTCACATTCCTGCATGTATGAATCTCTACCTTCCTCCCTCCCTCCTTTCTCTCTTTCTCTCTTTCTCCCTTTCTCTCTTTCTCTCTTTCTCTCTTTCTCTCTTTCTCTCTTTCAACATCACTGTCCACAACCTCCAGAACCTCCACATTTCCACGGAAAATGCAGACTCCCAAATCAACGCTATACAAAAAACTGCAGCTTTTTTTCCCTAGTACTATCTTGTTGAAAATTCCAATTAACTACACGGGTAGATTAATGATGGGACATACTCGATCGCCTCCACAACCTGCCCCCTTCTTGTGCGTACACACTACACAGCCAAGTCACTTGTGTCGAAAACGACGTATTTTATAAGGTTGGGAGCTCTTAGCTGCAATTGCATTGCAGAGTTAAAAACGAAAATGAAAAAAAATGACTAAAAAAAAAAAACAAAAAAAAACCGAAAATGAAAAAAAAAAAGGGTTGCCCAGGTTAGATGCAGCAGCAGCAGCATGCTTTTTTTTCTTCTTCTTCTTCTTTTTCTCTCCGCCGTTTTTGGAGCACTTTCAAACAAGCGAGATATACATTTTCCCACCTCGATGATATATATACCATACCTATATGTCTCGGCCGCTTGTCAGTGCAGCTGGCGACAGCCCAATTAAAACGTGCAAGCCTGTCCTCGGGGACATCCGCTAAAATTGGAACGATACGAAGAAGGGAGAAAAATAATTAAAAAAAACGTGCAAGCCACGTGGAAACGTCGAGAAACAGTTTTTTTTTTTTTTTTTTTTTTTTTTTTTTGGGCTGCAAAACGTGGGCTTTTTCGAATTTTTCAATTACCAAATATAGTAGTAATCAGGGTTACCGGCGTTCGGGACGGGCCGAACGCCCGAACCCGAACGCCCGAACCCGAACGCCCGAACGTACGGGACCCCTTCGGAAGGCGTTCGGCCGTTCGGGCCGAACGCGGACCAAAAAAAACAAAAAACAAAGTTTTCAAAAAATTCGTAAAAAAACATATGTTATGGAGAAAAATAAATTAAACAACATTTGCCTGGGCAATACATCCAAATTCTTTACCAAATTTGAATTAAAAATCAAATACAGAAAAGAAACACTATGATAAAAATAAGAAAAAATAAAAAGAGAATTAAGATGAGTGAGTGTGCCAGCACCTTTTCGACACCGCCATCTTTGCCGATTTTTAATTATTTTTTGGCATTGACAAATGCCCTGAAAATTTACAGATATGTAGTTTACATAATAAATAACTCGTTAAAAAGTTTCAAAAAATAATAATTTTGTTTAGGCCCCGAAATAAAGTGAAAACAAAAAGTTAAAAGTGAAAAAAAGCAAAATAGTGAGTGGGCGAGCACGTTTTGACACCCCCATCTTTGACGATTTTTAATGTTTTCTTTGGCTTAGCAGAATGGCTTCAAAATTTATAGGCGTGTAGGTTACATCTTTGAGAACTCACAAAAAACAATTCAGAAAAAAAAACTTATTTTTAGGCCCCGAAACATTTTTTGGCGGGGGCCGAACCTGGAGGTGTTCGGCCCCCGAACGGGAGCCCGAACGCCCGAACGTTCGGGGGCCAGCCCGGGGGCCCCGAACGTTCGGTCAGGTAACCCTGGTAGTAATAGAATCTTGAGGCTCGAGGCTTTTTCTCACAAGGGAAGTTCTGGGAGGATTACCCAGCTTAGGGCATACTCACACTAGGACTTTTAGTTAAACGTTTTGACGTAATTGCGGTCAGATGCATCCAGGTTTGGCCGTAAATGTGGTCAGATGCATTTAAGATAGAGCCTGTGTGAGTATGCCCTTAGCGTCGCTTCGCCGCACACACATTCCTACTGGCAAATCATACACGAGTTTTCAATCAGCAACCCAAAAAAAAACTTTTAGTGTGGAAGAAGTCACTGAATACCGTCTTCTTCTTCTTCTTCTTCTTCTTCTTCTTCTTCTTTTTTTTTTTTTTTTTTGGGTAGGTCATGAAGTATAGCCTCTCAATTCTCGACCCTGTCCGAAAGCGTTCGTACAAGCCACACATGCAATCTCTCGGCACGCTGTAATCGGGGGCCAGCTTTTTCTTTCTTTCTTTCTTTTTTTTTTTTTTTTTTCCTTATAGAAATAGCATGATTCGATTATAATGGGGGCCGGCTTCTTGACGTAGGTCCTCGGGGGCCAAGTCCCACTAGCAGCGTTGAGCTACCTCAACGCCTGAATCTGGACGCTTTTGCGGAGCTGTGCAGAAATGGTGTCGAGTTTCCTGAACGGCAAGTCTCCTCAAACACGTCCAGATTCAGGTGTTGAGGTAGCTCAACGCTGCTAGTGGGACATGGCCCCGGGAGGGTGAAAAACGAACATTAAACAGCGTCATTAAAAACATAGCGTGATTAAAAAGCCGCCTCTTAAAAAAAAAAAAAAAAAAAAAAAAAAAAGCAGCCTCGTTAAAGAACGGCGTCATTAAACCACCAGAGTTGAGCTCTATTTAAAAAAATAAAAATAAAAGTTGAGCTCTATTTAAAAAAAAAAGTTGAGCTCTGACGTGCATCATACGCGGTAAGAGCTTTTTGTCCTTTCCTATGTGCTTGAAGGTGAAGAGAGCGTTTTTTTTTTTTTTTTGAAGAGAGTGTTTTCGATTTGGGCCTGGGAGGTAAATATGAGTAGTGAAGGCGGAAGGCGAATATGAGGCAACTCGCACTAGCACTTTTTTTTGAATCTGTAACTGAGCGCAATTACGGCAGAGGACGTGGATGCATCTGGCTGCAATCACGTCCGGAGTTGAGTCAGAAAATGTCCAACCGTAGTGAGGGAGGCTATGTCCCAAGTTCCAGTTTGACGCTCGCGCGACTTGGAAGGCTCGCTTCGTGAACTTAGGCTCGTCGTGCGAACTGTTGTTTTAACGGGACATTAAACGGGGCATTAACGGCATCTAACGGGTCATATTACACGGCACAACCAAACGGCATTAAACGACATTTAACGGGGCATTAAACGGCAGCAAACGGGCATTAATCGGCATGATTAAACAGCAGTAAACGGGACATTCAACGGCAATGGGTAAACGGGCAAACGGGCATCAGTCGGCATCATTAAACGACAGTAAACGGGCATTAAACGGCATGATTAAACGGCAGTAAACGGCACGATTAAACGGCAATAACCGGCATGATTCGTGCCGTTTACTGCCCGTTTACTCGTGCCGTTTACTGCCGTTTAATCATGCCCCCCCTCCCCCCCTCTGTGTGGCCTTTCCTCTCACCCTCCCCGTTTGCACCCTCCCCCCCCCCAATTCCCCCTTCCACCGAACGGAACCCCCTTGGAAATAAAGCCCACCACCCACGCTACCTGACCTGGACCCACCCCACCGTTTTGGTGTGTGTTTGCTTCCCGGCTGAAAATGAACAGAGAGCGAAAGTAAACCATGTTTTGCTATGGTGTTGGGTCGCGGCCATTGGAGGGGGACTTGTGCTCAGCGACGACATCTTGCTTGGGGCAGCGCGGTTACGTGTATCCAACGACCTTGAATATGAGATCGACAATTTCGATTTGTTGATGGATGAAGGAGCAAAGGTGCGCAACGCTGTATGGACTGCCATCGTCGTGTCAGTCAACATTCTCGACAGCCTCTTCTTCCTCCTTACTTCCCTCTCTCCTCCCTTTCTCCCTTTGTCCCTTTCTCCCTGTCTCTCCTCTCTCTTCCTCTCTCTCCCTCTCTCTCCCTCTCTCTCCTTTCAACTTCTCCCTTCGGCTGTCCTACCTTCCTCCCTCTCTCCTCCCTCTCTCTTCCTCTCTCTTCCTCTCTCTCGTTTGAACTTCTCCCGTCCTCTTTCCTCCCTTCCTTCCTCTTTCCCCCCTTCCTCCCTTTCTCCCTTTCTCTTCCTCTCTCTCCCTCTCTCTCCTTTGAACTTCTCCCTTCCTCTTTCCTCCCTTTCTCCCTTCCCTTCCTCTTTCCTCCCTTTCTCCCTTTCTCCCTTTCTCTTCCTCTCTTCCTCTCTTCCTCTCTCTCCCTTTCTCTTTCCTTCCTCCCTCCCTTCTCTTTCCTCTTTCCTCCCTCCTTCCCTCCCTCCCTCCCTCCCTCCCTCC